CTTTCATGGGTAAAATGATAAAAATCCCTGACACTTCATTCGGCAAAGTAATATGTCCTCACAGATTGTTGTAAAGGTTTTTTTTTTTATTAAAAAAAAACCCACTTTGGTATATGATCAAGTTCTTAGTGCAGAGCCTGGCACAGAGGAAGTATCAGTAAATGGTGCCCATTCTCACTAATACCTGGAACATCGCTTATGTAGAATCAGTTAGTTCTTGATGATATGTGATGTTATGGTATTTGTATGGGTAGCCCCCAGTTTTTTAAGTCCAGAGATGGTGTTCTGGAAGGTAATTTGCAGATCACTTATTTGTATCTTCTAAAGTGAAGAGAATCTTTTCCAGCCAACTGCAGCAGAGTACACATGTGTGTGCTGGGGATGGGGCGGGGAAGGGGGAAGAATTTCTAAATGTTCTCCTGTATTGGAAGCACATGGCTTTGTGACTGGAGCTAGAATTCTTTCCTTCATTCACTCCAAGTCCTTGGATAGACAGGGAATTCTTAGCCTTCCTGCTGCATAGTGGCAAAGGAATCTTGCTCTCTGGAAGCTATAATTTCTTGCTTAAGTTAGCAGTGAGAGGAAACTCTTGGAATTTTAAATTCTATGATGCGAGATCCTGTAAGTGGATGATCAATAGGCTGATGATTCTATTTCTACTGCACTTCCTGTTTTTTGTTTCCTTTCTAAAGTCAAAGAAGATGCTAAGTGGACTTGGTTTTTCCTAGATAAGGCTGTAATATGCACCCCAGGGACAGTGGGAAAGCTGGAGGAGCAGTGATTACCTTTAAAGGATGGCCAGAATACTTCTATGAGAAATTGCAGTGATATTTGGAGCTTGAAATAAACCCTGTTCTCATTTTTTTTACTAACTGAAAAATTTAATCAATAAATTAATCTTTTCTGATTAAATTCATTAAAAATTAAGAGTATACTTATTTTTATCAAAGTAGTACATATTCTTGGTTAAAAATAGCAAACTGGAGAACTTATGAGGAAAAACAACCATCCTATGCCTTGCCTTTCACGTGCTCACCAGAGGCCACATGTTCCAATTTTAGCTATTTCGTCATATGGTTTCTGCCATGTTTCTAAGTAACATGCAGTATGGCTATTTCTAGATGTATCCATTTTAGATATTATCTGTTGACTTCTGTTAATTTAGTTGAGTTTTAAGCTCCCTTTATCTACTTCCTACCCCTCCTCCTAATATAATTCTATCACTCTGTTAATGGTTTTCTTTGTAGCTGTAAGTGAACTATTTATACCTTTCCTTTTTTTATTGTATCAGCTCTAGGCACCATCTCATGATTGTTCTCTCTTCTCTATCTAAGTTTATCATTTGTATTTTTAGTGTTGGAGTTGATGAGGTTATATTCAGATGCTTATAGTTAGATAGTCCATGGTTTGACTACATGTTGGTTTTAAGAATTGGAATTTAAAAAGGTGTTTGCATTAAGAACACGATGTGATGTAGAATGATTTGGTTCCCTGTCTTGCACAACTTTTGTTTTCTTTGATGTTTCTTAATTTCCTTTCCTGCCCCCCAAATTATATACCTTTATTGACTTTTTCTGTTGTTCCAAATTATCAAGAATGTCATCAGATCCTGACCTCCTTTATCTCTAGATAACTCTTCTGGAACTTTTGTTCTCTGAACCATTCCATATTGAATGTTTTCTATTAGCTTCCTTCCCTGCTTTATGTATTTGGATCCACATTTTTTCTAGTTCCTACATTGCTTCTTTCTTGCTTTACTCCCTCTTTTTGTTGATACACATCCCCAAGTAACTTGAACAGAAAGAATATATGGGAAATAAATTTCCCTGATCTTTGCATATCTGAAAATATTGTTATTCTGTCCTCATATTTTATTGTATAATATTTTTTTAAATGTTGTTTTCTTCTATTGTTTTTTCTGCTGTTCTTTTTTTTTGAAGTACAGTCAGTTACAAT